TTGCTGGCTAACATAACGTTTTCCTGAGGACAAGCACTAGGCTCCTTCCCTAATAATCACTTAACTCAGTAGTGAGGTCAGCGCTCTGCCCTCAGTTGGAGTGAATAATTGATAACTTTGTCTACTTTCTGTGTGTCTTACAAACAAGTTATTAAAAAGCTTGGAAAGTAACTTAAACCTTGAATTCTGTAGTGGTAGAATTAGATACTACAGTTTAAAAATTGAGCTCTCTACTTAGCTATGTTTATTTAAAATGAACAGAATGACTTTAATATTTCTGGAAGCCCTGTTGACTAAACCACGGAAAACCTAAAAATTAGATTTATATTAAAAAGTTTTTTTTATGTTTTTTTTTTTTTTGAGAGACAGAGTGTGAGCTGGGGAGGGGCTAAGAGAGAGGAAGAGACAGAATCTGTAGCAGGCACCAGGCTCTGAGCTGTCAGCACAGAGCCTGACACGGGTCTTGAACTTAGGAACTGAGAGATCATGATCTTAGCTGAAGTTGGATGCTTAACCAACTGAGTCACCCAGGCGCCCCTAGATTTTCATTTTTTAAATGACGTCTGGGTATGGCATGTTTCCTTCTGTTCCTCACATACTATCGATCTGCCATTGTAGAAAAACACTAAGGATTTGCTTTTGAGTCGGCAGAGGTAAGGAATTTTCCTTGTTTAGTATTTGACTAGTGTTGGCTATTGTCATTGGTTACAAAAGGTGCCACTCTCCACTTGGGTGGGTGAAGTAGATTCCTGCGGCTGCCATAACTACCACAAACTTGGTGGCTTAACACAAGAGAACTTTGTTCTCATAGCTGTACCTGCTCTGGAGGCTAAAAGATCTAAATCAAGGTATTGGCAGGGCCATGCTCCCTCCGAAAGCTCTAGGGAAGAACCCTTCCCTCCCCAGCTTCTGGTGGCTCCTGGCAGCCCTTGGCGTTCTTTAGCTTATAACTGCATCAGTCCAGACTTTGCCTCTGTCTTCACAGGGCCTTGATCCCTGCTTGTGTCTGTGTCACCTCTACTTATAAGGATACCAGTCATAGGATTTAGGACCCGCCTTACTGCAGTATGACCTCATCTTTACTAATTATGTCTGCAAAGACCCTATTTATAAATAGGGTCACATTCTGAAATTTGGGTAGACGTGAAGTTTTGGGGGATACTATTCAACCCCCAAAACCCTGGCTTGGTGGTGACAGCTGTCAAGGGACAAGACGTTCTGGTTGAAGGAAGGGCCCCCCCAAGCCAGGCTCATATAGTCAGCCTCATGTAGTCAGAGTGTGGGAGACAGATCCTGCGGAGAGCTGTCTCTGCCCTCTCAGGCCCGCATTGCTGGTTCCTGTTTCCCGTGTGCTTTCTGCTTCTACGACCTGAGCACACATCCTTCCACCACCAGCTCTAATAAGCAGTTAGTACATGCACTTTGTTAAATGCATGTGATCTAGGTGGGTAGGGACGGGAAATGTGTACTTTTTTCCATGCTTGTGCGACTGACTTTTTATTTGCGGGCTAACCACAGAAGAGTTGGACTGCACACATGAACTCTTATATTCTCTTAGCAGGATGCTACGGCAGCAATCCACAGCATGATGTGGCTGAGACTCTTTGCTTTTTACTGAAGCTATTTTTACTGATGCTACTTTACAGTACATGGGGCCCTCAGGTGCACATTGTGCTTCTAATTTCAGTCTCAAAGTTATCTAGGAAGCAAAGTTCTCATATTTTGAAAGTATTCACTGTGAACTGGCTACTTAGAGAATGAAATCATATTCAGAAATCTTTTTAATGTTTGCCTAAATGCCAACAATCTTTGTTGGCGAATCTCTCCCTGACACTTTTGTGGGGTTTTTTTTTTTTTTTTTTAATGTTTGTTTATTTTTGGGAGACAGAGACAGAGCATGAGCAGGGGAGGAGCAGAGAGAGAGGGAAAGACAGACAGAATCTGAAGCAGGCTCCAGTCTAAACTGTCAGCACAGAGCCTGATGCGGGGTTCGAACACATGATGTGTGAGATCCTGACATGAGTTGGACACTTAACTGACTGAGCCACCCAGGTGTCCCTTGTGGGTTTTTCCCCCTGTGTTTATTATTTTAAGAGAGAGAGAGCATGAGAGGGGCAGAGAGGAGAGACAGAATCCCAAGCAGGCTTCTGGCTGTCAGCATAGAGCCCAACATGGGGCTCAGTCTCATGAACGATGAGATTATGACCTGAATCAAGAGTCAGACACTCAACTGACCGAGCCACCCAGGTGCTCCTCTCCATGACACTTTTGTATCTACCTCAGGGGTCAGCAAACTTGAGATTACAGGCCACATCTATCCTGCAGCCTGCTTTTATAAAATGGCCCATGAGCTAAATAGTTTAATGGGTTGGGGAGGGGATGAAGAGAACATGCAGGAGAGACTGTATTTGACCCACAAAAAATATTTACTGTCTAGGGCACCTGGGTGGCTCAGTCAGTTAAGCATCTGACTTCAGCTCAGGTCATGATCTCATGGTTCGTGAGTTCAAGCCCCACATAGGGTCTCTGCTATCAGTGCAGAGCCCACCTTGGATCCTATGTCCCCCCCCCCCCCCGCCCCTTCCCCACTCGTGTTCTCTCTCTCTCCCTTTCTCTCTCACTCAAAGAAATAAACATTTAAAAAAATTAAAAACAAATATTTACTGTCTAGCCCTTTACAGAAAGTTTGCCAGCCCCTAGTCTAGGAGAATATACTGCAAATAGAGTGTAAAAGGATTATGAGGTAAACTTGTGAATCTGGCATAAGAGCCAGGGTTTCATGGAAAACTGCTGTGGTTAGCTCTAGTCAACAAAGTGGAGACTTTGGAGCCGTTGAAAAGTGGCTCTAAGTGAAGTTAAACCAGAGAAAACCTGTAAGATTTGTTAGGCTGAGTGCTTTAAAGACCAGTGATTTAAATTCCTACTGCTGCCGTAACAAATTCCCAAAATTTAGTGGCCTAACACCACCACAAATTCATTATCTTACAGTTCTAGAAGTCAGAAGTCCAAAATGGGTCTTCCTGCATGAGCAGGGCTACCTGCCTTCTGGAGGCTCTATGGGAGAGTCTGTTTCTCTCCAGTTTGTAGAGATTGACCTCGTTCCTTGGCCTCTGGTCCCTTCTGTCTTCAAGCTGGCAGTGGCCAGGTGAGTCTTTCTTTCTCTGCATTACTCTGAAATAACTCCCCTGCCTCCCTCTTCACATTTAGAGGATCCTTGTGATTACATTGTGTATACCTGAATAATCCAGTAGATCTTTATTTTAAGGTCAGCAGACCAGCGGGTGACTCTAATTCCATATGCAGCCTTACTTCCTTCTTGCCAGGTAATATTACATATTCATGCGTTCTGGAGAATAAGATGTGGACACCTTTGGGGGGTCATTAATTTGCCTACAACAAAACTCTTAAATGTTTCTACCCTCCCTTTTTTTATCTTTATGATCAATCTTTTTTGTCTTTTAATCAATCTTTATGATTAAATATGAAATAAGGATATTTCATGCTATCATTCAATCTTTTTTCTTAATTGCTAGAAGTAAAATTAGTACTTGATCCATCTTTGTTTCTAAGAACAAAGCATAGCTAAATTATAACTTAAATCTTACTAAATTAAGGAATCTTGTTTCATATTTTTTTTAGTTTGCATAAAAAGGCCCAAAACCTTTTTGAAAAATCTTGGAGTACCTGGGTGGCTCACTCAGTTAAGCGTACAACTCTTGATTTCAGCTCAGGTCATGATCTCACGATTTGTGGGTTCGAGCCCCACTTTGGGCTCTGTGCTAACAGTGCAGAGCCTGCTTGGGATTCTCTCTCTCCCTCTCTCTCTGCCCTTCCCTCACTCTCTGTCTCTCTTAAAAATAAGTAAATAAACTTAAAAAGTCTGTTTTCTTACCTACCTAGAATCATTTGTTCTTGGATAATATTCCTATACACCATTCCTTGTTCTCTGTTACTTTTTCATCAAACATGTCCCCCACCAACGAGCAATACTATTGCTTTCACATTTAGTGCTGATCCATTTTTAAAATGGACTCAGTGCATGTTAACTGCATTTACCCTTATAATTTCATAGTCCTGAGTTCAGATGCAAAGGTCAGGCCAGCACAGATCTTCCTGTTGGTGTTGAAAGAAAAGAAACGTGTAGTGGCTCAGGGACATTTTACGGTAGGCTTTGCGTTTAGCTTGCCATTGCGGGGTGTGGGCTCCCAGCATAGAATTTGTCATGAGCAAATCTCAGACTTCTTAGAAGTAAATGGAAGGTCTTTTATTAACCTAACAAGGTTTAAGCAGCTGAGTTGTACTGTAGTCTTTTGAGAATGGATCTGAACTCTTTGGGTGCACAGTTCGTGTCCATTTAGCCAAATCAGTGAGAATTATGGAAGGCTCCTCCAGACCAGGCGAGTGGGGGCAGGCACAGATTCCCCATCACATCCTCAACTTTGGCCTCTGTTGCCTTTTTATCCCTGTCTTACTTCCCGCTGTGGCGGGAGTATGTACCCGGGTAGAGTGGCGTACAGGGGAGGCGAGAATGCAGCTCCTCCATAGAAATAGAGTTGAGATTCTCCGCAAAGCTAGAGGCCTAGTCTCTGAAAATCTTGCTCCAGGATGTGGACGTATACATACCCTCGTCCTAAGAGGTAACTTCTGCCTGTGAGAGCCACGTGGTGCATCCGTTCTGCTGACAAAGAACTGGGCACAGCTAGGGACCAGCTGGCCGATAGCTTGAATTTCTTAACGTGTGTTCCATACTTTTCCTTTCAGTGTGGTCAGGTGATGGTTGAAGAAGTTTTCTGGGCAGACCCTTGAAGAGAATAAAGAGGAAGGAGGGTCGGAGCCTTCCAAAGCGGAACCCCAGGAGGTGAGGCCGAAGGCGTGCGCTTCCACAGGAGGGGCTGCACTTTCCACCCACTGTGCTCCTGATGTGGGCGGCGGCTGGTGAACAGAACGGAGAAGCGTGGCTTTCTTGTCCCTGTGGGGCCCTAGGTGAGAAGTATCGTATGCATGCTCGGGTACTGATCTGTGAGTGCTTGAACTGGGTGGAAGTCTGAAGTGAGAAAGGACAGTGAGGCCTCCCCTCACCGGTACCCGCCGTCGTCCTGACCTTTCCTGCCCCCTCACTGACACTTTGGCACCGGGCTCACTGTCTTCCTGCTCCTGGCCTGATTTCAGAGAGGCCCCCGTCCCTCTGTCTGTAGCCAGTTGCTGCCTGCCTCGGTACTTTCTCCTGCTTCTTGATACACCATCCTGACCATCGCTTCTGGGGAAAACGGGCTACCTCGGAGGCTCCCCCTCCTCTGTCCGCCCTTTGAGCAGCGGTGTTTCTCTGAGTTCCTCCCTTAGCCCTCCGCTCCTCGCTGCCCGCTCTCCTTGTAGTTTCAGCCATGGTGGCCCATGTCTGAGCTTATCGCAGCCGCTCAGCGTTCTGCTCATTTCCTGGTCTCTAGCCCTAACCTTGACCTCACTCCTGAGTTTCACGGGTTTCTGCCTGCATGTCTCCCAGTTACCATAAATCAACAAAGCAAGTCCCAAGTGGGTTTCCTCTTTCCTTCTGCTCTGGTTGTCCCAAGTACCCAAGCGTAGCGAATTTTCCCATCTTGCACAGTCACCCACACCAGGGACCTCGGTGTCCTCTCTGACTCCTCATCACAGTCCACGCCTAATGCACTGCCATATCCTGCTAACAGTCTCTCTTACACCCGCCTGAATCTCTCCTGTTTGCTCTGCCGCAGTGGCTTGCCGTGTGTGGCTTGCCGTGTGTGGCTTGCCGCTGTCATCTCTCCCTGAATAGTGATGGTAGCTCCCCAGCTGGTGTCCCTGCCCTGGGCCTGGTTCCTCCTGTCCTGAGCAGCCAGAGGGAGCGTCCTAAGGCACAGAGCTGACCGTGTGGCTCTCCTCAAGCAGGCTAGGCACTTGTCATCTGTGGGAGTAGTCCGGGCAACTTCAGGGGGCCAGAAGGGCTCTCCGTGTTCAGACCCTGCTCACCTCTCCACATTGTATCCCAGTTTACATTTCTCTGATAGAGTTTGTAGGTACCTAGAAATGTCCGCGTTTTCACCTAAGCAGTTCTTTGCCTAAATTCCCTTTCCAGTTTACTTTATCTCGCCACCTCCCTCTCATCTTTCATGGCTGAGCTCAGTTGCTGCCTTTTCTAGGAACATCTTTTGAATCCTCTAGTTGAGTGAGATCAGTGTCCCTTCTGGGCTTCCGTGGCCTCTGGGATTCTGTGGCACCCTCTATCCTGCATTCACAGCATTATTTTGACGTTATTTATTTAACAAATGTTCAAACGTTGCTTACTCTATACCTGGCACTGTTCTAAGTGTTTTACAAATATTTAATCCTAACAGTAGGCCTTTGAGATAAGGCTAATATTGTCTCCAACTTTTGGTAACAAAACTAGGCACAACATTACAGAGCTCATAAGTGACGGGGCGAGATTTGAACCAAGGCCGTGTAGCTCTGGGGTCTGTGTGCCTCTCGTGTTTGTGGCCAGCCCTCCCCCACTAGGTAGCCGGTTACTTGACAGCTCCAGTAATGGGCCTCGTACCTGCGTACCTGTATGTTGACTTATGAGTCCACAGCACAGATAGGTCAGAGACAATCGAGCTTTCCCTGTGAAACAGCTGGTAGGGCTTGTCCTGAATGCTGTCTTCATCACCTAGTCATCCTGGTCCTCTTGGAGCACAGAGCAGCGCCCAACCCCCTCACTGTCTTCCGAGCACTCAGGCCCAAGCCGGAGAACAGCCCCTTCTGCTCGCAGTGCAGCCAGACTGAATCTGTCGGGGTAGGCGTGGAGGCAGAAGGCCGTGGCTCGCTGTAGCAGGCGTGAGGTGGGTGGGCTTCAACTGGTGTTTGAACGTGCTGAGAGCTGTGTGCTGTGGGCCAGGAAAGTGTCTGTGACCGCAGGGCAGGGTGAAGCGAGCTGGCATGTCTGAGGGTGAGTGTAATGAGCCTGCGGGGTGGGGCTCGGGGTGGCTGGTGCTGAGGTGTCCTGTCACTAGGTGTCGGGCTGGGGGCCGCGGCCGTGGCCTTCCCTGTCAGCACCTTGCTGCAGCCCGCTCGCGGCTGCTGGGTTCTCGGTGTGCGGTCAGAATACTCGCTCTGCTACTCGGGGGTCGGTGTTCCGTCCAGCCTAATGGTTTCTCCTGCACCCAGGGAGAGCCCGCTGCGAAGAAGGCCCGCTCGAATCCTCAGGTCTACATGGACATCAAGATCGGGAACAAGCCAGCCGGCCGCCTCCAGATGCTCCTGCGTTCGGACGTCGTTCCCATGACGGCAGGTGAGCGGGGCTCCGGGCGGGAGGCCGGCGGCGGGGCGGTGGGCCTCCCCAAGGTTCTCGCCGCCATGGTTCTTGCGCCCTCGACGCTCTTTCTGACCCGCGTTGACTTGAGGCATCTCAGATCCTGGGATCTAGGAACAAATGAGGCCGGGCAGGCATTTTTGAAGCTTTACAGGTGCTGGTTCACTATTTTTTAACAATGATGTTAAATAATGGGCTTTTTCATTTTAGACATCCGTTGGCTTCCCACTTCAGGAGATAAAGAATCAGCTTTTAAATCCCTTTCCCTGCCCTTCCATCTTCTTTATGTATAGAGTGACCATAAGCTTGGTTAAGTCGGAGGTTATTTTAACTGTTTGACATCATACCGTAGTAATTTCTGTTCACACACACCATTTTGTTTTCCTGGGGTCCATCATTGTCTTGTTTTCACGCGAGCTTAGTCTGTGCATTTATTCCTGATGCTCTCCCGAATCCTGCTGCCTGCATGAATCTCTCCTCATGTTCACACACACCAGGTATTCTGTCGCTTTCCCTCTCCTTTTGTTTATTTATTAAAAAATTTTTTTAATGTTTGTTTATTTTTGAGACAGTCAGAGCGTGAGCAGGGGAAAGGGCAGACAGAGAGGGAGACACAGAATCCGAAGCAGGCTTCAGGCTCTGAGCTGTCAGTACAGAGCCCAATGTAGGGCTCGACGAACCCACGAACCGTGAGATCATGACCTGAGCTGAAGTCAGATGCTTAACTGACTGAGCCACCCAGGCGTCCCAGCTATATTTTTTCTAAGAACAAGAATGTTCCCTTACATGATTACAGTATGACCATCAAAATCAGGAAGTTTAACATCAGTATGACACCGTTTACTAATTTTCAAGCCATCTTCAGATTTCATCTGTTACCCCATTATTGTCCTTTATAGTAATTTTAGCAATTGTTCTTCCCTGGCAAGGATTCGCACACCACATTGAACAGTGAAGTCTCTTCAGTCTCCTCCTGTTTGGAACAGCGTCTCAGTTATTCATTGCCTTTTTTTCTTTTTTAAGTTTTATTTTTGAGAGAGAGCGCTCGTGAGTGTGAGCGGGGGAGGGGCAGAGAGAGAAGGAGAGAGTCCCAAGCAGAATCCACACTGGGAGCGCAGAGCCCAATGAGGGGCTTGAACTCAAAAACCATGAGATCATGACCTGAGCTGAAACTAAGGGTCAGGCACTTAAGTGACTGAGCCACCCAGGTGCCCCTTTCATTATCTTTCTTGATCTTGAGGACTTTGAGGAGGACAGGCCCAGTTTTAAGATTGTGTCTCAGTCTTTGCCTAGTACTTCCTCATGATGAGACAGAGGTGTGATGTGCTTTGGCAGGAACACCGCAGAAGAATGCTGTTTCCTTACTAGGGTATCGTGTAAGGAAGTGCATGATGTCAGGTCTAATATTTGTGATGTGAACTTTGGTTGCTTGCTTAAGGAGATGGCTGCCAGCTTTCTCTACTGGAAGGTACAGCTATTTTTAGGGCTATAAATTAAAAGTTAAAATTTTTTCTCCTCACTACCTCCAGCCCATCTCTTTGAAGTAACTACTACTATTCACAGTTGTGTGCTTCCTATTTTCTTTCTTTTTTTTTTTAATGTTTATTTCTGAGAGAGAGAGCGAGAGAGAGTGCGAGTTGGGGAGGGGCAGAGAGAGACTGGGAGACACAGAATCTGAAACGGACTTCAGGCTGAGCTGTCAGCACAGAGCCCGACGCGGGGCTGGAACTCGGGAACAGCAAGATGGTGACCTAGGCCGAAGTCAGACGCTTAACCAACTGAGCCCCCCAGGCATCCCTTCCTATTTTCTTAAATATTCATAATGATTGTTTTTACTCAGAATCCATTTTTGTTTAAATCCAGCCTTTTAAAAAATGTTTATCAAAGTCATAATTTGCACATAGTTTAAAGAAAACCATTCTGTGAAGTTTGTCATAATGTGATGTTTTTCTGTTCCCCCTCAACATAATTTTTCTGCCCTGCCAAAGGTAACATTCATTTTTTCCAGGTGATTATTTTAGCTTTTATTGCTACATCTCTGAAAAACATATTCACTTTATCACTATTTGATTTATTTTCAGGTTTTGGCTGTTTTAGGTCAGATGTTTTGGGAAACAGACTCATGAGGAATTGCATGCAGAAAGCAGGGGGTGATCTCAGGGACAACTCTTACAAGCGCATGAGGGGAGCAGATCAGGCAGAGCGTGTACCTGAGCTGCTGTCAGTCACACAGAGGCCTCAGCTGGTCCCGGGGGCGTATTGGAGCTCTGATAGCCCTTCTGAGTTGTTCTGAACTGAGGCCTGGGGGCCAGGCCTCTGGACCCTCACATGGACAGTCATGAATTCTGGCTGATTCCCAGGACGGGTGAGCAGCTTCCTTCAGCCAAGGGCATTTACTGGGGTGGAACTTCTGGGGCTGGTAGCATCTCATGCTCCTGGGAGGGGAGAGGGGGAACGTCTTGGTCTTGAAGGGGATCCAAGCGGCTTCCCAAAGTGTCCACTGCAGCCTGCCTCTCACACCACTCAGATCCTCATTGGCCGCTGTGTCTCGTCTCTCCTGTGCCCTCGCCCTGACCTCTGAGTTGTTGCAGGGACCCAGAGCTCGGCACTTGTTTTTCTTCTCTACCCTCTCTCTTCGCTTAATGGTTCTGTGCGTATTAGCGTAGTGCCCACCTCTTAGAACTGATCCTTTACTAGGTCAGAATGAAAGTCACAGCTAATACAGCCTTCCAACACATAGTTTGTAAAAAAAAAAAAAAAAAAAAAAAAAAAAAAAAAGCGTTATGCGGGGCACCTGGGTGGCTCCATCGGTTGAGCGTCTGACTCTTGATTTTGGCTCAGGTCATGATCTTGAAGTTCATGAGATTAAGCCCTGAGTTGGGCTCTACACTGGCAGGATGGAGCCTGCTTGGGATTCTCTCTCTCTCTCTGTCCGTCTTTGCCCCTCTCTTGCTCATTCTTACTTTCTCTCTCAAAAAAAAAAACATTTTTAAAAATATTTATTTTTGGGAGAGCGCAAGCAGGGTAGGGGCGGCGGCGGGGGGGAGGGCAGAGGATCCAAAGTGGCTCTGCGCTGGTAGGCTGACAGCAGCGAGCCCGATGTGGGGCTCAAACTCCTCAACTGTGAGATCATGACCTGAGCCAAAGTCGGACGCTCAACTGACTGAGCCACCCAGGTGCCCCTAAAAATTAACATTTAAAAAGTATATGTACTGTTACATAATAATTACAATATGAAAGAAAATTAATTTATAGTAAAATAGTATGTATTTCAGTCCTTAAATGCTTAGACACAACTAAATATGTGAAACACGTAAACGTACACTTCTGCCTAGAGCAGCAGTTAGCTGTGTGGACTGATAGAGGTACATTTTGTTGGCAGGTCACGGTAACATGATTTCCTGACACGGTGAAAATCCCCTGGTAAAATTCAGAACAGAACCAAAAATTAAGTTTTCCCTTGGTTTATGTAGTAGGTCTATTTCTGGAAAGCTTCAGTGCAAAAGATAAGTCTTTGGATTTATATGTAAAATGGAGTTAGGTTCTCAGCTCAAATCATTATGAACAGATTTTTCTCCAATACACCAATGTTTCTCAGGGCATTTGAAAGTCTGAGAGGATTAGGAATCCTTCTTGCTGACGTGTGACCTGGCAGGACATCAAGGTTCCCCGTTCCCTTCCCACTAGTGCCAGTAGCACCCCCTGTTCCTGACCACCAGAAGCATAGCTTGGAGTTTCCAAGTGGCCTCGAGGGGGCAGTCTTCCCCTATTTAAAAGCCGTGCTGTGGCCAGTCCCTTCCCGTCCCAGGGTTTCCAGTGACATCTGTAAATGACTCCTGCCCACATGTCAGCCTCCATGCTGTTGTCTCCCTGTCGTCTTCCCCTGGACGCCTCAGGCCCCCCAGGCTCTCATGCTCTTTTCCCCCAGACGCTGCCTCCCCTCCCCTCTGTCTCCGGCACTGTCTGCCACCACCATCTGCCTGGCTGCCTGCTCAGCTTAGGACTCCCCCTGGACCCCTCTCCTCCGTCACACACGTCAGATCCACTTTCTTCAAGTCACCCTTCCTTCACTAGCGCCAAGTCCTCACGCTTGTCTCCCTGCTTCCACTCCTGCCTCGTCCCCTCCTGGTCCAGTCTGCGAGGTAGTCAGAGCCGTCCTGTTCACACATAAACCCAGTGCCGTCACTCGCTGGCCGAGAGTCCTCCCGTGGCCCCATCACGCACGTGGGATCCAGCAGGACCCACTGGCAGGAGGTCTGGCACCTTCCGGAGCTCCCGGAATGTGCTGCTCCTCCCTCTGTCCCCACGGCCGTCCTACTGTTCGTCAGTCACCGCCGACTCCCCTCAGGGCCTGGGTCATGCCACTTCCTGTCCTAGAATGTTCTTCCCTTAGCATCCATAGCGTTCACCCCTCACTTCCTTCAGCTGCCATGTACTTCGTGCTAGAGGCCAGCCTTGCTCTCGCTCTAGAATGGGCATTCCTGACATCTCTTCTTTTTAGTCAGCTTCATTTTTCTTCATATATTTAATACCTGAGATTATATTATGAAGTTACTTATTCTTTTACTTATTTTCTGTCTCCCTTTCTAGAATATTAGCCTCATGAGGGCAGGACCCAGTCTTTATTGATTACCACTGTATTCTAGAATCGTGTAAATAAATATTTGAATATTTAAAGCTGGTGTTCACAGGGCTGTTTTGTTATGTGTCAGGCACCTTGATCAACTCCAACATTGAGGGTGGAATGGGACATGGTCCCCATCCAAAGGGGGCATGTGGTCCAGAGGCCCAGCCGTGGAAAGCGGGCTTTCTCATTGAGACAGATGAGGTTATAGGCTCCCTCTCTCAGCCCCCGCCAAACCTGGGTCTTTTTAACTCAGATGTTACCTCCTCCAGAAAGCCTTCCATGGTACTGTGTGTATGTGTGTGTGTGTGAGAGAGAGAGAGAGAGAGAGAGATAGAGATAGAGATACACTTTTAGGTGACCGTACTGGGGTGTGTGTGAGAGAGAGAGAGAGAGAGAGAGATACACTTTTAGGTGACTGTACTGGGGTGTGTGTGTGAGAGAGAGAGAGACACTTTTAGGTGATCGTACTGGGGTGTGTGTGTGTGTGTGAGTGTGAGAGAGAGAGAGAGAGAGAGATGCACTTTTAGGTGACCGTATCTTGTGCTTCCATTTGCTGAACGAATGTCTGTGTGACGAGGCTTTGCTGTTCCATAGCATTTTTTTTTTTTAAACAGCTTTATCGGGATGCAATTCACATACATTCACTTCACCCATTTAAAAATATACATTTCAGTGGTTTTTATTGTACTCACAGTTATACAGTTATTACCACAAATAATTTTAGAATGTTTTTCTCCCAAAGGAAACCCCACACCCTTTAGCCTTCCCCTTTTTGTCCCCCAGGCCTAGGCAAACACTAATTGACTTTCGATTAGTTTTGCCTATTCTGGACATGTCATATCAATAGAATTCCACAACATGTGGCCTTTTGTGACTGGCTTCCACTTAGCATTAATGTTGTCAAAAAAGTTCATCTACGATATAGCACGTATCTGTGTTTCATTCTTTTTTACTGTCAATTAATATGCAGTGTATGGATATACCACAATTTGTTTATCCATTCATAAGTTGAACATTTGTTTGGTTTATACATTTTGGCTATTATGAATAATGCTGCTGTGAACATTCATGGATAAGTTTTTGTGTGGACATCTGTTTTCATTTCTCTTGGGTAGGTACCTACAATTGGAATTGCTAGGATCTAGGATAATTTTTTTCATATTTTGAGGAACTGCCAGACTATTTTCCATAGTGGCTGCACCACTTTACGTTCCCATCAGCAGCCTGTGAGGGTTCCAATTTCTGTGTATCCTCACAATCCCTGAATATTATCTCTTTTATATTCTCTTTCTGTTATCCTGGTGATGTGAAGTGCTACCTCATTGTGGTTTTGATTTGCCTCGTGGCTGATGATGTTGAGCATCTTTTCATGTGTCTGTTGTCCATATTTACATCTGCTTTGGGAAACTGTCCATTCAGATCCATTACCCATTTCTAAATTGGCTTTATTATTGAATTACAAGAGCTCTTTACGTATTCTAGCTGTAGTTCTTTTATCAGATACATGAATTGCAAGTAGTTTTTGTCATTCTGTCGGCTGTCTTTTCACTTTATCTTTTGCTTTGAAGCACAGTTTTAATTCTGTTGAAGCCCCATTTATCTCCCTTCTCTTCCATCAGTATATTTTTGGCATCATAACTCAGAAGGTTTTGCCTGACCTAAGGCTATAAAGACTTACTCCTATTTTTTCTTGTAAGACTTTTATAGATTAGCCTTTACATTTGGGTCTTTGATCCATTTTGAGTTAATTTTGGGTATATAGTGTGAGAAAAAGGGTCCAATTTCATTCTTTTGCATGTGGGTGTCCAGTTGTCCTAGCATCATTTGTTGAAAAGGCTGTTCTTAGGGAGCCTGGGTGGCTCAGTTGGTTAAACATTGACTTTGGGTCAGGTCATGATCTCCTGGTTCGTGAGTTCGAGTCCCACTTCAGGGGAGCATGAGCCCTGCTTTGGGTGAGCCCCGTTTCTCTCTCTCCCCCCTTGTCTCCCTTTCCCTGCTCTTGTGGGATTCTCTCTCCCTCTCTGCCTCTCTCTCTCTCTCTCTCTCTCTCTCTCTCTCTTCCTCTCTTCCTGCCCTTGCTCACTTGCGCCCTCTCTCTATAAAAGAAAAAAAAAGGCTGTTCTTTTCTTTTTTAATTGTATTGGTATCCCTTTTGAAAATCAGTTGACCATAAATGTAAAGATTTTATTTCTGTACTTTTTCTGTTTCATTGATCTATATATGTGTCCTGTGCCACTTCTACATTGTCATGTATTCTGTAGCTCCATAGTACATTTCGCATTTGACAAGTAGGAGTCCTTTAACTTTTTCTTCTTTTTCCAGATTGTTTTGGCTATTCTGGGTCTCTAACATCTCCATATGAATTTCGGAAATAGTTCTCAGTTTTTGCAAAAAATCCAGCTGGGATTTTGACAGAGATTGCACTGAATCTGTAGAACAATTTGTGGGTTGCCATCTTTGCAGTATTAAGTTTTCCAGTCCATGAACATGGGATGTCTTTCCATTTGTTTAGATCTTCTTTAATTTCTTCCTATAACATTTTATAGTTATCAGAGAATAAGTTTGTATTTCTTTTAAATTTATTCTGCAGTATTTTATTCTTGTTGATGTTATTGTAAATGGAATTTTTCGATTCATTTTCAGATTGCTCATTGCTAGAGTATAAAATAACTTGATTTTTGTATATGGATCTTGTATTCTGCAAACTTGCTGAACTAGTCCTAATAGTTTTCTAGTGGATCCTGAAGGATTTTCCTTATATAAGATCATGTCATCTGGAAATTTCATTTCATTTTTTTGCAACTTGCAGTGGCTGGAACATCTAGTGCAATGTTGAATAGAAGTAAGGGCAGATGTCTTGGTCTTATTCCTGATCTTATGGGGGAAACATCTAGTCTTTCACTGTGTGGGTTTTTTGTAGGTGCTCTTTATCAGACAGAGGAAGTACCCTTCTGTTCCTAGTTTGTTGAGTGTTTTTATCATGAGAAGTTGTGCATTTTGTAAGATGCCTTTTCTGTGTCTATTGAGATAATAATATGGTTTTTGTACTTTATTCCGTTAATGTGTTATTTTTGTTTTGTGGATGTTAACCCAGTCTTGCATTCCTGAGATACATCCACGGTTATCTTTTGAATGACTCTTTTTCACTAGACTATGAGCTGCACCAGGGCTGGGACCAGTGTCCCCAGGGCCCACTAGGAGCCTAGTTACCAAGTAGACAATAAGTATTTGTTGAATGAATGAAAGAAAGGATAAACCAGTATAAAATGATTTAAATAACTTTGCGCACCATTTCACGGACTATCAATTGAGTGGAAGACAAGACATCCACATGGTATTATCCTGGAGTCTGAGCCCGCCGGGTTGAAGGGCTGTCAATCGTCTGCACAGTGTACCTCTTATAGCAGGGAGCCAAGGGTAAAGGCTGATGTGCTCCTTCTCTCCCCCAGGCCTGCTCTCCATGGCCAACTCCGGCCCGAACACCAATGGCTCCCAGTTCTTCCTGACGTGTGACAAGACGGATTGGCTGGATGGCAAGCACGTGGTGTTCGGGGAGGTCGCAGACGGCCTGGACGTCTTGCGGCAGATTGAGGTGTGTGGCTTCCCCGGGCCCGGGGTGCGTGGCCCTGCGGGAGAGCTGGAGACAGGGGCCACGGCTGCTCCCAAGGAGGGCTGCCTCTGCTCAGGGAGGGGTGGGCCGATGGGCAGGGTGTCCAAGAGCCGCTCCTTACTCTCCACCCTCCCTCGTTTCTCCCCCTCTTCTGTCCCCACAAAGGCCCAGGGCAGCAAGGATGGGAAGCCAAAGCAGAAGGTGATCATCGCCGACTGTGGGGAGTACGTGTGAGTCCGCGCAGTCTCGGCACTGTCCCTGCGTGTCCTGGAGCCGTCAGCCTGTGAGCCAGCACCTGCGGTGTCCCTCCCTTTGGTGGCAACCAGGGGTTTGTGTCGTGGCCCTTCTTGGGGTCAGCTTGGAGCAGCTCTTCTCATGCCTGGGCTCCCTCTGGCTCTTTCCCAGGTGTGGCCGTGGGCCCGGGAGCCGGCACAGGGGCCGCCTTCCCCGCCGTGGACAGGCTGTGCGTGGCCTTCTCCGGGCCTTTGCTGCCACGGCTTCTCCTAGGCCCGCCAGTGTGGCTCCTGGACGTTTCTTTTGGTAAAATAAACCCGAGTTCTTGTACTGCCGCCTGCTGGCCAGGTCCCAGGTGTTGTCAGAGAGCTGTGACTGGCCGATCTTCCTGTGACAGAGGAGAGCCCCTCCCCTGCTGTTTCCCCCCCACCCGGGCCGGGTCCCTGAGACCATACACTGTCAGACCACTGCAGGGTAGCAGAGGTCAGAGCTGGTGCCAAAGTGCCTCTCTCCTCTGCTGCCAGGCCACTGAGTTAGGTAAGCCAAGTTCCATTCCTGCCTCATACCTAGTTGTGAGTCTAAGGGGCACCCGAAATCAGTCTTGGTGACCCATTCACTCATTAATAGTCCAAATTGTGGACCACAGAATTCCCAGAGCCCTTCTTTTGCCCGGCACTGTGCGTGGTGCTGGGGAAACATGAGAAATCAGCCGTGGTGGCAGCTGCATCCTGCCCATACCCAGTCCCACTGGAAATTGAAGTCAGGTACCAGTTTGTAGCATGTGCAGCCTCTCGCCCTACACCAGTGTTTGGCTGGCCGGGCCACCTCCCAGCAGGTCCCGTGTGCTGAGGCTGGTCACCAGAAACCATCAGTCATCAGAGACAACGTCCAAGGCTGCCGCCTGCTGCTCTGTTGCCTGCCAGAGGCTCTAGATCAAGGTCTGCACTCAGAAACCATTGGGCAAGGCTGGTTCTCCTTTGAGGTTGAGGTCAGGTGAGCCTGGAGGGGAGGAGAGAAGCCTGCTGGCCTGTGATCCCCGACAGCTTCTGCGGAGGGGTGGATGCTGGCCCTGTCCCTGTCTAGCATCCAGGGCCAGCCTCGGTCTCTGCCTTCAGGTGGGGCTTGGCTTGTACCCCTTTGGTTGGCTAGGGCCCGCTCCTGTGGCTATTCCCAGCCGGGACCCTCGCTCCCTAACCAAGGCGTTCCTCTCACTGGTGGTCAGTCATGGCTGTCAGGACAGGCAGCAGTGAGGCCAGGAAAATGCCAGCCACTCAGGGCTGATGTGACGTCTGGGAGAGGAGAGATGTATTTGAAGTACTCGACAAGGTTGACTCTAGAGATTACGTGTGGGGAGGGGAACCGACTGACCTGAAGCCTCAGGAGGAAGGACTGGTCACAACCCTGTGAAAGCAGGGGAGAGGTTGTTGCAGGGGAGGGAGCTTTGTCCCTCACTGTGCTTCCCTGATTGCCTGGGAAGGTGGGACTAGCCCAGTGGCCAGGAAGCCGGTGGGCAGGGGAGGCATCAGGTGGCAGTTGCTCCCTCTGTGCTGTGTAAGGGGCTTCCCCAGAATTTACCACGTGGGTCCGCCCATAACCCTCGTACAGGTGGTGACCCAAGCCTTGGTGGTGAGATGCCAGGTCCCGATGCCATCTGCTGGGTGACCGTGCAGGTACTTTTTTTTTTTTTTTTAATTTTTGTTTTTTAGTGTTTTATTTATTTCTGAGAGAGAGAGAGACAGTGTGAGCAGGGGAGGGGCAGAGAGAGAGGGAGACACAGAATCCAAAACAGGCTCCAGGCTCTGAGCTGGATGTCAGCACAGAGCCCGACGTGGGGCTTGAACCCACAAACCATGAGATCACGACCTGAGCCGAAGTCGGACGCTTAACCGACTGAGCCGCCCAGGCGCCCCAGGTACTGTCTGTTTGACCAGAGCGCCTGGCTGCCTGCCTTCCCGATGTTGGGCCAGAGCTCCCAATGGTAGGGTTGTGGTGGCCCCACACCTGCCTCCCACGGGGGAGCGGGGGCAGGACTGGGGTGGAGGGCAAGGAAGGCAATGCTACAGAAAGATTTGTTTTCAAAGAAGATTTAATAACAGATTTTCAATATATCATAGATCGAGTAAATCAGATCACCAAGCAGTACATAGAGTATGATCCTGACTTCATGAAATACCCATATGTTCTCTATGAAGACAAATGTGTATGTGTCAAAGAAAAAGACTGGAAGGAATTATTAACAATACTTATCTCTGTGTGCTGGGAGTATGAGTTTTTGGGATTATGCTGGGATTCTGTGTGTTTTTTTTTTTTTTCCAAAAGTTTCCCTGGCACACAAGTGAACAACAACTTTTTTTCCTTTTTAAAGGTCCAGATGCTTGCTCAAGGCTTCGTGGTAAGAAGAGAAACCCAGGAAAGCTCCCCCTTCAGCTTCTCAGAGGCTGTAGGTAGGACTCTGGACTTTGGGAGGAAACAGCGACACAACACAGCCCTGTCCTCCGTCCTCAGAGGCCCAGCCCCCCTGGGTCACCAAGTCACGGTAGGTCCCTGCACGCTGGGACTCCCACAGGCAGGCGATCGTGTAAGTCCCCACCTCATCCCTAGAGGTGACCAAATTTAATTTTTTTTTTTTTTTTTTTTTTTAAGGAAAAGCGCAGCTTTAAAGTAGACACAGCAGCCCCTCCTGGACATGTTCTGGGAGGCGAGGGTTTTAACAGGAAGGCTAACAGGGGAGGCCCAGATATGCAAATTCATTGAACGTAGGACCACTAGTAGATTCACCGAGTCGTGCACACACGGTGCCGACTGCTTTGTGGACACACCGGATCCCCACCATGGCCCTGCACGGGCAGAACTGATCATTCAGAGGAAAAACCTCTCACTTAGAGGTGACATAATTTGGTCAAATTAACCAGGGGCAGAGCCTGGATTCTATGCGACGTCTACTGGCTCTAAAACCCACTGTATCCTATTCACAGCCTCCTTTCCTGTGAAACTGCAGGCCTTTTCCCTACATAGAGACACAAAAGAACGGGGCTTTGCCTGGTGAACGACACCCGGGCCAGTGCCGGGCTCTGACTGTGGAGGCGTGCTGGCCATGAGGCACACAGAGCAGTTCTCCCCACACCACTGGCCCCAGATGTGGCTGTTTCCGGGCGGCCTCCCTTCCTGGCAGCACTTACTTGGCTGTCAGTGGGCCTGAGCTGACCACCCTGATGTATGCTTCTAATGTGCTGCCTTCAACCTAACCTGGGCCATTGGGCAACCATATAATAAATCAGATGACTGTCCCTTCGTTGACTTTGCATCCATAATTCTCCCTGTTCTCCAAGGCCTTTTCTGTTTGGTTTCAATTTGCTGGCTGGCTGGAGGTTCTAGAAGTCTGTCAGGAAGTCTATGACCACTGTACTTCCAGCTTTATGGCACAGACAGGGATTCTGATTATGACCCTCACATTCCTATTTGGCACATCCAAGGGACAAGGCAGTCTGCATCTTAAAAACATTCATTCTACAGGCTTTCCTGGCGTCCCCAAAGCATGCCAGGTTAGGTGCTAGATGTTGAAGCATCTAATACTGACGTTTGCTAAAAGTTTTCAAACCTCGGCTGCCCCTGATATTGAGAGGAGAGAGCTGCTAGCTAAAGCCCCAAAATGGCAGGTTTCCTGTCCGATGTACACGGCAGCTGGGCGCTCAGGCTGTGTCTTTGCTCTATGACAGAGGAGAGGGCCAGGGTTTCAGGCAGGAAGGAGGCTAATCCTTGTGTCACAGATGAGAAACTGAAGCCTGAATCAGGAAGGGGACTTGTCCTGACACCAAACTGGGCAGTGGCTGTGTTGGAACTAAAGTACAGGTCTCCTGACATTCCAGCCACTTCGTGCTCCAGTCCCTGCCTGCCTGAGCTCAAAGCCCCAGGCCAATCAGGAAGTGCCCACTCTGCAGACAGTCTGGGCCTGCCCTCTGTTACGGGAGGGTCTCCTCCTCTGTCCTTGCTCCACAGTCCCTTCCACGTCCCCGTGGAGGGGCTGCTGTCCTGCAGCAGGGCCCCGGCGTCCGCACCTGCCGCCAGGCCGGCCGGCCCGGGGCCCCTCGGCGGGGATGCACGTCCTTGGGCGCAGGGGTGGTTCTGCCCCAGCTGGGCTGTGCCTGTGGGTTGGGCGGGCCCGGGATCGGCTTTTAATGACCCAGTATTTCAGGGCTCGGGCAGCTGGACTCTGTCTGCGCCAGCAGGTAAATTACAGGCTTAGCAAGTCAGAAATCAAATAAACACTCCAACTGCCTGTGGTGGCGGCCGCTCCGAGAACAGTTGTTTCCGGGAACCTGCACCCGGGTCACCCTAATTACTGCCTCTGTCACTCCCCTGGGACAGAGAGCTTTTCTTTGGTTCACAGGCCCAGAGAGAGCACAGTGCTCCTGGGCACACAGGGTGGTACGGACTGGTGAGCAGACCGTTCCCCGTGCTTGGCCCAAGGTGGCCCCATGCTATGGGCGGAATGGGTTGCTCCTTAGTGTGGCAGGAAGGGGAAACGGAGTTACATTTGCTGGTGGGTGTCTGGACTTGTAGGCTGAGGGTCCAGTGGAGAATATACCCAGGTTGATTACTGACATGGGCCATGGGCAAGGAGACAGGAGGGGGTGGCATGTGTGCCACCTACTGCAGCCACTGTCTACTTCTAAGGGTTTTTGTGTCCGTGCTAAGCCTCATGGAAAAAAGACGGGGGAAACGAAGCCCCCAAGGTTCTTTGCTTCTGGGGTGGGGGCAGCATACCGCTTTCCCAAGGAAGGACGTCATATGCCATAAAACTTTCCCGTCAGCCTTGGTCTCAGCATGAGGCTCCTCTAGCTTATTCTTTCTCTAATGTGCTGACGGCTAGTGGGCAGCGTTAGGAGCCCAGTAATACACTCCTGAGCACAACCGCACGTCTGTGCCCTGGAAGGCCCAGTGTGGTGTCTAAAGAGGGATAGACCCACTTCCCCCCACTCAGCCCGACCAGCTAAGCTCACACTCCAGGTGCTCTTCACACAGGCCTGGGTTGGAGATGGTCAAGGACAGGTCCTGAGGCAGGACATCTGCTTCTGAGGCTGCTGTGCACATCAGGCCAGTCGGGCTACTACACACACCAGGGGAGGGGGCAGAGGGACCTGGGGAGACGCTGGCAGGGATGCAAGTGAGGGCCCTCCTTGCCGCCCCACCTGAGCTATGATGGCATCTAGGGTTTCCTGTGTCTGGAAAAGGGCCGGACCCAGGCGGGAGTCTCTGCAGCGGCGGGGCCGGACCTCAGTGGCAGCCACAGGCCCTGACTACCATGTTGCGGTGCTTGCGCAGGATGACATTGTTGCTGCTGTCGTAGTAGAGCACGGAGGTGGCGCTCAGCTTGGTGGGGGCACAGCACGCCTTGGGGACCGCGTCCGGCTTCATCAGGTGCACCTGACCAGGGAAGGGACAGCTGGCAGGCGTGAGCACCACGGCCTTCTCCCACGGCCCCCCAGCTCCCGCCACCCCGACCCCGGAGTCTCCAGCTGCTCACCCTCCCCCGCTCCATCCTCCACCTGCAGCCCAGGCTGGTGCTAATGTGTAGATGGGACCCCTCCCCCCCCACCCCACTGCCCTCAGGGTCCAGCCTCAGCACCAGCCAGCTCCATCCACACTCACTCCCCTCAGAGGTGGCGACCCCGCTGGTCTCCAGCACATGGCGCGCCCCGTGCCCAGCCCCTCTGCCGCACCACCCCTCTGGGTCCCCTCCGCTCCTCCCTATGTGCTCCTGTAATGTTCCCGATCCTATCTGGTCCCCATTAGCTGTTGGTAATCTGTCTCCCCTCCCGGCTGTGAGCCCGTGAAGGATCACAGAACTGGAAAAACCAAGGGCCCCGGGTCCATCCCCGTGTTCAATGCTGTCACTCCTCAAAGCACTCGCCACCCCTGATAACAACTTCTAAGGCAGCTACCGTTCTGGGCCGACCGAGAGGGAGGGCACAGAGGCCCTGCTCTCAGGTGCGGTGGGACTCGGACAGGGGGCACTGACGTGCTACCCTCCCAGCAGCCTTTCTGCCAGGAAGAGCCTGCCTGAGGGAACGGCCCGTTTTCAGCCTCCTGAAAATATTTCTGCCGAGCCCTGGCAGGGCGAGCTGCAGTTTACAGGAACCCCGGGGTCAGGGCCCCCCCGCTGCCAGGCCCCAAGGCGGCCCGAGGCTGTGGGGAGGCAGGAGAGAAGAGGACGCCTGCTCCATCCATGTGTCGTGGCCGCCGCCAGGGCTCCCCGCCCTCTCAGAGGCTGCCGAGCAGGACCCGGATGGAGCTGTCTGGTGGGGGAGCCTGTCCGGCAGCCTGGCCCCCGCGCCCCAGTGCCCAGTTCTGAGCCAGCCTGCTGTGAGGACACCTCACAGCACCTACTTACTGGCTGTGCATCTTTGGGTCCAAATCCTGCATCTGTAGGCCTCATTTTCTCCTCTGCCAAATAGGTAGAATGGTACTTTTCTCATTTCCAACACAAACGTATCTAGGACACATGCCTTGTGCCAGGATGGGTCACAGAAATGTTCCTACTCTCACAGATTCAGTGGGGAGGGAAAAGGAGACAAGGAATATTCCAGTAGACAACCAGGGCTCGTGGGAACGGCACAACAAAGCAGGCCCTCCACCCCAGCAATAATTCTGACCCTGGACAAGGCTTCCTGTCCCTGTCCTCACCTGCAGACCCCAGCGTTCCTCCTACCCCACACCTAGTCCTGAGAGGGGCCCTGCCTCCAGCTGCCCTTTCACTGGGTCCCCTGCCTTCTCCACCCTTGACCCCGTCCAGCTGCCCACTGCAGCCAGAGCAACATGTCTAAGGTTCAGATCATTGACACTGCATCACTAACCCCCTGCACCAGCTTCTCAGTTTACTTGGAGTTAAATCCACCCGCCACCTTCACTGGGACCCCAATGCTGTGGGACCCGCCCACGCCTCCCTGCAGCCTGAGCCCATCCAGCTGTCCTGGGCTGACATGGGATCTGCTGGTGTGACCATCGAGGGCCAGGAGAGGCATGGAGCTCGTGCATAAGGGACAGCCCAGGGACCCACTTCCCAACACCCCTGAGCTGCTCCCAGAAGGTGGCTCTTGGGGACAGCTATCCCACTTGACATGAGAAAGGCAGTATCAGCACACAAAGCCCCTGCCAGTGATGTGTTTCCTCTTGCTTGGGGGCATCACCTTAACCTCTTCCAGGCAGGCTCAGGGATACCAGGAATTAGGATTCTAGGTCAACATTCCAGAAAGAAATCTCTACCCCAGAATCAACTAACGTTTAAAACACTTGGGAATGGCAACGTGCAGAAGACGGGGTGGGAGGGTCCTGAGCCCACCGTGTCCTACAGGCACAGCCAGGTGACACCTCAGTGGAAAGACTCCAGAAAAGGCCCCAAAGGCCAGCGGAGCAAACTCCACGACCAAAGGCGGAGAAGAGGCCACGTGAGGAGGGCAGGAAGAGCAGCGGGGGAGCTACCGCGGCCTGTGGGGCTGCCCGTGGGCGGAAACATGAGTTCCCGTATTTGGCTTCAGAAACCAGAGTGGCCGAATTTCAGTTCTAACAACCAGCAGGACTTAAAACCTGAATTTAAAATACCAGCGGCCTGGCTCTGGGAGGGCAGGAGGAACCCGAGACCCTGCCTCAGGAGACGCGGGCAGAGATACAACACTGAAGCAGCAGGTGGAAAACCCCCCAGGGGATCTGGGAGGGGGAATTGTTTACTCCCCTCAGAGCGAGGCCCCAGGGACAGAGATCACCTGGGGACTCCAGGGACAAGGGAGCAGGCATGCGCTGTTTCCTCCTGTCCCCCGGCATAAACACATGCCACCTGGGGGAACCAGCGCGGCACTGACACCCTGCCTCACTTGCCACTCTGCCCCTCCCCCAGCCACACCTGCCTCAGCTCCGGCACCGAGGATCCCCTCCTGCAGAGGACAGTCATCCAAACCCTGCTAATACCACCTCCCTGCACCCTGAGCTCTGGTGGCTCTGCCCCTCCAGTCAGGCTGGCCGTGGTCTTGGTCCCTGTGGCAGCTGGTCCCCTCTCACAGAGGTCCAGGGTGCAAACCTTGTAGACACTGCACATCCTGTGTCTGTGCACGTTGCTGATGCGCCCCCCCTCCATCCCCTGGTACACCCATGGCTGGAGCCCATCCACGTGGGACCACAAGCATGGCACTGCTCAAGCAGCCCCGATGGGGGGCAGCACCACTTCAGTGACTCCTGCCCTGGAGAGAGGGAAGGACAGCTACACGCACCAGTCAGGCTGCACCCCGGCAGGGACTGGGGGCAGACCGTCTGATTGCAGGCCCTGCCCACCAACGAAAGCTTCTCAAGGGGTTACACAGGAAAAGCGTCCTGTGATTTGGTGCTACAGCATTGTACAAATGCCTGGTGTGACTCAGCGCAAGCCCAGAGTGCCCCACAGTGGCCCACTAACACCACAGGGACCAAACATTGCCCATGACATCAGAGAACTATTGCAGACGGCTGGACTGAAGGAAAAAGTGACTCAGTCACAGAAGCAGCTGTATGTGGCACACCTAGAAGACATGCCTGACGCACCAGCTTCTGATGAACCGGGTGCACTGCACTGTTGGGCACTATAGGAGGCCTTCGGAAGGCCATTCCTTTCAAAAGCAGGAGATGTAGCTGGCCTTCCTAACACATAGGAATAGACAGAGACAAAATGAGACCAATAAATATATATTCCAGATGAAAGAACAGGACAAAATCAGGGCAAAAGACCCAAGGAAGACAGAGATAATATGTCTGATAGAGAATTTGAAGGAATGATAAAAAAAAGATACTGTACTTGAGAAAAGAGTAGAGGACATCAGGGGTGCCTGGCTGGGTCAATTGGTAGAGCATGCGACTCTTGATTTCAGGGTTGTAAGTTCAAGCCCCACATTGGGTGTAGAGCCTACATAAAATAAAATTTTTTAAAGAGAGTGGTTGGCATCAGTGCGGCCCGTAACAAAGAGATAAAAAACTACCAATCAGAGACAAAGAATACAATAAGTGAGGGTTGCCTGGGTGGCTCAGTTAGTTGAGCTGACTTCGGCTCAGGTCATGATCTCATGAGTTTGGGCCCCACGTTGGGCTCTGCTGACAGAGCAGAGCCTGGAGCCTGCTTTGGATTCTGTGTGTCCCTCTCTCTGCTCCTACCCCACTTGCACTCTGTCTCTCTCTTAAAAAACAGAACAAAAATTTAAAAAAATATATAATACAATAAATGATTTAGAACACCCTAGGATAGAATGAGTAGCAGGCAAGAGGAATCAGAGAATGAATCAGTGATCTGGAAGATAGAGTAGTGGAGAGTAATCAAGTTCACCAGATGTCGAGAAAAGTTCTGCAAAATGAGAAAAGACTTAAGGAACTCAGCAACATCATCAAGCATATAACATTTGCATTGTAGGGATCCCAGAATGCAAAGAAAGAGATAAGGGGGGCAGAAAATTTACTTGAGGAAATAAGGGATGAAGAAATGGAAGGAAACAGAAAGCCAGATCCAGGGGGTACAGAGATCCCCAAACAAAATCAACCCAAGGAGGTCCACACCAAGACCTATAGTAATTAAAATGATAAAAAGCAGTGATAGAGAATTTTTAAAGTAGCAAGAGGGGAAAAAAAGTTATGAACTAGGGAAACCCCACAAGGCTGTCAGCTGATTTTTCAGCAGAAACTGCAGGCCAGAACAGAGTGGTATGATATATTCAAAGAGCTGAAAGGAAAAGTTTGCAGCCATAATACTCTATCCAGCAAGACTATCATTCAGAATAAAGAAAAAGCACTTCCCTGGAAACAAGTTAAAGGAATTCATGACCACTAAACCAGCCTTACAAGAAGTGTTAAAGGGGCCTCTGAGTGGAAAGAAAAGAACCTAAGTAAAATTAAGAGAAGTAGGAAATACAAAAGCAGTAAGGGGGGAATAAAGGTGTATTTATAAAAACCAGTCAAGGGAGTCACATAATAAAAGGATTTGAGGCATGATACCATATACCTAAGTCATAATGGGGGCAGAGGAGGAGTAAAGAATGGGCTCAAACTTAAGTGACCATCAACTTCATACAGACTGCTAAATGCAGCAAATGTTATATAAAACCTAACAGTCATAAATAAAAAACTAGTAATGGATGTACAAGAATTAAAGAGACATCCAAATACATCACTAAACAAAGCCAACTAATCATGCGAGAAGAGAGCAAGGGAAGGAAGGAACAGAGAAGATCTACAAAAACAACCATAAGAGAAGTAACAAAATGGCAATACACACATACTCATCAATAATTGCTTTGAATGTAAATGGACTAAACAATCAAAAGACATAGGTTAATGGAACTGATACTTAAACAGCAGCAGTTGGAAAGACCCATCTATATGCTGCCTACATAAGAGAATCATTTCAGGTCTAAAGGCACATGCAGACTGAAAGTAAAGGGATGGAGAAGCATTTATTATGCAAAGAGGTCATGAACATAAAGTCAGGATAGCAATACTTGTATGGGACAAAATGGGCTTTAAAACAAAGACTGTAAAAGTCTGACACTATATAATCATAAATGGAACAATCCAACAAAAAGATATAACAATTGTAAATATTTATGCACCTGATGTGGGAACAACCAAACATATAAAATAGTTAATAACAAATATGAAGTAATGGATAGTAGTACAATCATAGTAGGGGACTTTAATGCCCTAGATACATCAATGGATAGATCATCCAAACAGTCAACAAGAAAACTGTCTTTGAATGACACATTTGACCAGATGGTTTTAACAAATGTATCCAGAACATTCTACTCTAAGACAGCAGAATACACATTCTTTAGAAGTACACACAGAACATTTTCCAGAATAGATCAGATGGGCCACAGAACAAGTCTCAACAAATTTTAAAAAGATTAAATCATACGATGCGTCTTTTCTGACCACAACACTGAACCCAGAAACCCACCACAAGAGAAAATGTGGAAAGAGCACAAATACATGGAGGGTAAATAACATACTACTAAACAATGAATGGGTTAGCCAAGAAATCAAAGAGAAAAAATGCATAGAAACAAATGAAAGTGGAAACACAACAGTCCCAAATCTTTGGGATGCAACAATGCTGTCCTAAGAGGGAAGTTTATAGCAATACAGAGAAGCTTACTCAAAAAGCAAAAAAGAATCTCAAATAACCCAATCTTATACTTAAAGGAGCTAGAAAAAACAAGCAAAACCAGCAGAAGGAAGGAAATAAAGATTAGAGCAGAAATAAAATAGAAACTCAAAACAAAACAAAACCAGGCTGTTTCAGTTGGTAGAGCAGGTAACTCGATTTTGGGGTTGTGAGTTTGAACCCCATATTGGGTGTAGAGATTACTTATTAAAAAAAAAAAAAAAAGATCAATGAAACCAGGAAGGAGCTTGTTCTTTGAAAAGATCAACAAAATTGATAAACATTTAGTCAGACTCAAAAAAGAAAAAAACATTTTAAAAATCAGTAATGAAAGAGGAGATATAATCAATACACAGAAATACAAATGATTATGGAAGATCACTCTGAAAATTATATGCCGACAAAGCGGATAACCTAGAAGAAATGGATAAAGTCCTAGAAACCTCTAACCTTCCAAAACTGAAGCAGGAAAAACAGAAAATTTGGACCAACAAGTTACCGGCATGAGATTGAATCAGTAATCAAAAAACTCCCAACAAACAAAAGTCCTGGACCAGATGGCTTCACAGATGGATTCTACCAAAACCATAAAAAGGAGTTATACCTATTCTTCTCAAACTATTCCAAAAAATAAAAGTGGAAGGGAATTTTCCAAATTCATTCTATGAGGTCAGCATTACCCCAATTCCAAAACCAGATTAAAAACAAAAGCCGCTACAAGAGACTACTATAGCCAATATTGCTGATGAACATAGATGTAAAAATCCTCAACAAAATAATGGCAAACTGCATCCAATATATTTAAAAAATCATTCACTATGATCAAGTGGATTTATATCCAAGATGCAACAATAGATCAATATTAGCAAATCAATCAATATAATACATCACATCAATAAGAGGATTAAAACCATATGATCATTTCAATAGATGCAGAAAAAGATTTGACAAAATACGTCTATTCACGGAAAAATAAAACCCTCAACAAAGTAGGTTTAGAGGGAACCTACCTCAACATAACAACAGCCATATATGAAAAACCCACAGCTAACGTCATAATGCTGAAGACCAGAGCTTCCCCCTGAGGTCAGGAACAAGACAAAGATGCCCACTCTCACCACTTTTATTCCACAACACAGGAAATCCTAGCTACAGCAGTCAGACAAGAAAAACAAATAAAAGGCATCCAAATCGGTAAGGAAGAAGTAGAACTTTCACTTTTTGGAGGTGATGTGACACTGTATATAGAAGTGTCACAACCTTTAAGACTCCACCAAAAACTGCTAGAATTGATAAATATAGTCATGTCACAGACTATAAAATCAATGTACAGAAATCTGTTCATTTGTATGCACTAATAATGAAGCAGTAGAAAGAGAAATTTAAGAAAGCAACCACATTTACAATTGTACCAAAAAGAATAAGACATCTAAGAATGAACCTTTTTTTAAATTTTTTTTTTCTGAGAGAGAGAGAGAGAGAGAGAGACAGCATGAGCAGGGGAGGGTCAGAGAGAGGGAGATATAGAATCCGAAACAGGCTCCGGGCTCTGAGCTGGAAGTCAGCACAGAGCCCGACACGGGGCTTGAACCCACGAACTGTGAGGTCATGACCTGAGCCAAAGTCGATGCTTAACTGACTAAGCCACCCAGGTGCCCCAACATCTAAGAATAAACTTAACCAAAGAAGGCAGAGACCGGTACTCCAAAAACTACAAAACAATGATGAAGGAAATCGAAGATAACAGACATGGAAAACTACTCAATGCTCACTGATTGGGAAAACCAATATAGGTAGAATGTCCACACTACCCAAAGCAATCTACAGATTTAATGCAATCCCTATCAAAAAGGCAAGAGCATTCTTCAGCTAGGACAATCCTAAAATTTGAATAGAGCCACAAATACCCCTAATAGCCAAAGCAGTCGTGAACAAGAAAAACAAAACTGGAAGTGCCACAATCCCAGATTTTAAATTCTACCACAGAGCTGTAATGAAACACTTAGCTATAGGCAACAGCCGTGTTCCTCATGGCAACTATTTTTCAGCATATGAAGTTACCCCAGACTCAGCACTGGTAGCCATACCTTCTGCGGAAGACGCGAAGAACTAAGGGAGCAGGAAAAAGACGACGGGGAGGTGTAGAGAAGGGGGGCCAAAGCCCAGCCCCTCACCCGGGCCACACTGTAACGCTCTCTGCGTACACCGTGCGGCAGGTGGCCGAGTGCACGTGCCCGTCACTCACTCACCCACAGGCATCTGTCCGACAGGAGGCCGAGGCCAGTGGACGCGGTGACATGTGTTCAGAGCACACGGGAACCCGGGTGGGATGCACGTGTTATGTGCGTGCTGTGTGTCTGACCAGAAGCAGGCATGTCCTGTAGACCTGGGCGCCCACATATGTACGTGAATGCCTTACACGTGCGTGTGCAGGGCACGGATCTGGGTGTGCACAAGCGGTCAGGGCAAGTCGGGTGTACGCGGGTGCAGATGCACAGGGGTCTACACAGGAGCACGGCCACACAGGCCCCAGTTCCTGTGCAGACACGGGAAGGGAACTGCGTGTGCCTGCAGGGAAGGGTGGAGAGAGCTCCCTGAGACCCGGGCAGGCGCTGCCGGCCACGTGCTGCACGAGCCCCTCCCCGTGGGTGGGGACAGGACGGACGCGGCACTGACCAGGGACTGCAGGATGGCGTGGTTGGTGGCGTTCATGCACGAGTCCAGCGGGAAGGAGCACTCCCCCTCACAGTAATAGGCTGAGTAGCCTTGGGGCGCAATGACCCAATCCTGGGGGGGGAATAGGAGAAGGTGAGCGCCGTCCAGATGCCCCCGCCTCCCGCCGAGGCCCTGAATCCGGCACGCGGCCCGAGACGACTCAGGGCTGCCCTTCCCCTCCCGCAGCCCCAGCGCCACCAGCCGACCCTAGGGTCCCCGCAGGCAGGCTCCCCCAAGGGGCCCGTCGTCCACCGGGAGAGCATCGGCAGGCAGGGCTGGGCGCGGCTCTGTCCCCTCACGTACACTGGGCATCGTCACCCCACCTGCCCCGCCGCCTGCATCTCCTAGAGCTGCGGCTCTGACGTGTTATGGCCGAGGACTCAGACCAGCCCCAGTTCCGTGGTTTTCCCCCAAAAGCACCTTCTCACTATAAAAGAAAGACCTTCTCCCTTCAGAGAATACAGAAGAACCTAATGCAGGAGAAACTTAAAATCACCCATAACTCTAGCTGCTCCCGCACATACACCTATGATCTCCGGGCGGGGCCCGTCACGTGAGGAGGAGTCAGAAATTACCAGCCAGCCGAGGTCCTGGAAGCTGACGTAGAGCTCGTGCCGCCGGCACACCTGCCGGCCGTCGGCTCCGTGCACGTCATCTGCAGGGACAGAAGCGAGGCTGTTCTGGGCTCCTGCTCCGGGCAGCTTCCGCAGGGAGCTCCCAGGGCGGGGGACACCCTACCCGGCACTTGGCGAATAAATGAATGAAGTAAAACGGACGCATTTGGTCTCATTAAGCCCAGCCTGCAGCTCTGCGGCTGCCACGGCCCAGCTCGAGAAACTTCCATGGCTCCAGGTGGCTCAGGTATAGAGTAACCCTGCGCTCAGCCCAGCCTCCCCTGACTCCCCACCTGTGCCCCCCAGTGCTTCAGTAAACAGCCCAGGGGACCCTGGGCCATCAGGTGGCTCCTCCTTTTCTGCACTGACCTCACCCCGCCTCTCCTGCCACCCCGCTCCACGGGACCGAGTGGCTCACAGAGGCCACAGGGCAGACTCCCCGTGGAGGAAAGGGGGGCAGCAGGGCAGGGCCGGCCCGCTCCTGATCCTGAGGGGCTCAGTCTGGTGGGGAGCCTTCCCATAAACAATCGTGCATCCTGCAGGGTCCCCAGGGGCTGTGCTGCCTGGAGGAAGGGGCACCTGATTCTGAGGGAGACTTCTGGAAAAAGCCCTGGGGAGCCAGGGGAGGGCCCAGAAAGCACTTCCGGGCGTCAGGGACGGACAGGGCAGAGGCTTGGGGGCTGCAGGCGGATGGCAGAGGCCGGTCCACAGGGCAGTGCCAGGGTGGGGGGTGACCCCCCGGCCTGAGCCTACTGAGGGCCCTGAGGGTTCTGTCCCCTCCAAGGTGGCTCCCGGCCCACCCCGGGCCTCACCAAAGATCCCCGGGAGTTTGTTCGCGTGTGGCAGCTCGTTGGTTTTCTTGGGCGGCCTCCTCTTCAGGGGCCTCGCTGCCCGAGGGGCTCGGCCGGGACCGGGGCTCGCCCTGAAAAAAGTGACCAGGAAAGGCTGCTTGGAGCGCGGCGCCCGTCGCCCCAGCAGGCCGGCCAGGCCAGGATCCACGCTGCGCCCTGAGACGGAGAGAGGAGAGAGGGCGGTCACTCGAGGGCAGGGGCCGTGCACGCGGGGCTGCGGGGACCCTCCTGCCGGGGCCTGCAGGGGCCCGGGGGCGCGGAGGCAGAGGGCCTCAGTTTCCTCGTCCAGAGACCGGAGTCCCAGGTCGAGGAAGACGGGGGGTGGGGCCTCGAGAACACAGGGTCATTGCTCGTGATAACGGTGAACACTGCCGTCTGGGAAGCACTTTACAGGTTTGGAGTTAGTTCACACGCGCGACCCCATGCGTCTCCAGTCCCCCTGGACCTCAGGCTGCACTGAGAGACTTCAGAGCCACCTGCTGGGGGCTTGCAGTAGCGCGGTTCCCACCTCCGTGTGACGCTCCGCGTTCTCCGTCCACCCCACACGCTCTGGGGCTGGGGATGGACTTCAGACCTGACAGATCGGAGCAGCCGCCAGGACGCAGCTGGGGCTCGCTCTGGCCAGCACGGCCACGAGCAGGGCACTAACTGTCCCCCGATGTCCACAAATGAGACCCCGGGCTCAGCCGGGCAGAGACATCTGGCCAAAGTCCTGGAGCGGGGGTTCGGTCCTGCCCCAAGTTCTTATCCATTTAAGGTCCTACTCCCGGGTTTGTGGGTTAAAAAAGGGAGAAAAGGCTGTGGGCGGGGACATGATGGGGACCTCTGGCTAGGAAGAGGGACACCCAGGCAAATGGGATTTGACCCCACAGCTGCTTAGAGACGAGGATGCCCTGAGAAACACACTCATGATCCCTGAAACTGTCGACTCCACCAATAAAACCAACTTCCTGTACCTCTTTGTATTTCCAAATGACCTCTTGATTTCTTAATTGTCAAAGTAGTACAAATACAATTTGTAGTACACAATAGCAACTGTAAGGTAACCTTTGGGGAAAAATATCACTCAGAAACCTCTGCCTGACCCCAACACATCATTTTCATTTTTCTGGAATATTTTCTTGTCAAGTGAACTGTTACACAATGGTGACCTTAACAAAGAAGTCTGTAAGTTTTCCAACTTTTTCATACAAATATGTTCATTGCTGTTAAAAGGTCTCCACTATGGATGTTTCAAAATTCCTTTGAGAAAATATGCCATAATATTTAGAGATTAGCTTAACTTTAGACATTTAGGTTATTTCCTGGCTTTCATTAAAAGACGAAAAAGTGATAGACCTCTTCATTTTCATTTCCCATGGAATTTCCTTAAACTAAACAACAGGAGTGGAGCCTGGGTGGCTCAGTCAGTTAAGTGTATGCCTCGGCTAAAATTATGATCTCTCAGTCTGAGTTTGAGACCTGAGTCGGGCTCTGTGCTGACAGCTCAGAGCCTGGAGCCTGCTTTGGATTCTGAGTCTCCCTCTCTCTGTCCTACCCCTGCTTATGCTGTCTCTCAAAAATGAATAAGCGTTAAAAATTTTTTTTTAACTAAATGACAGGAGGTGATTACTAATGGATTTTTATGGTTCTTTTATTTTTAGTATTTATTTTTGAGAGAAATAGAGACAGAGCTCAAGCAGGGGAGGGGCAGAGAAAGGAGACACAGAATCCGAACAGGTTCCAGGCTCCGAGCTTTCAGCACAGAGCCCAGTGTGGGGCTCGAACTCACAAAGTGCGAAATCATGACCTGAGCTGAAGCTGGTCGCTTAACTATCTGAACCACCCAGATGCCCCTATGGTTCTTAAAACACACTGCGAACTGTTCAGCTTCCATGTACGTCACCTCAGTGTTGCCCCCCTGACACACACACACACACACACACACACACACAGAGGCACACATATGTATGTATCTATGACAACACACAAGCATCTATTTTACAGGATACAGACATACACATACACAGAGACATATGTCTGTTCCATTAGCAGGTGTCCTGATTCTCTGTGAAACCTCGCACAGGACACGGCCTATCCCACCCATAGTCCTGCTCAGCTGGCAACGGTCAGCCCTTAAACTGCTGGGCTCTAGACCGGGGGCCCTGGGCCAAGTTGCTTGACCTAATCAATCCAGAGACTAAACTTTGAACTATGACATCACCTGCCACAACCAAATGCACCGGACACGTTAGAGGCACCAGTCGGGAACGATCCTACTGGGACAGGAGGGTGTCAGCTGCAGGGGCTGACACTGGAAGGAGCCCATAGAGAAGCTATTTGGGAGTGTTTGGGTCACGGCAAGTCAGTCACGAGGAAGCAGCAGAACCATGAGGACACAGAGCCACAAGACCCATACAAGCCCTGTGAGCAGAGGAGAAAGGCCAGGGAGGCCACCGGGAGGCAATGAGTGGACCGGAGCACGAGGGCGACTGCCATCAGCGTGGCACTGGAGTGGAACTCCATGACCTTGGGCCGGGAAGCCCTCCAGGCCTGTGTGTGTTCTGTCCCTGTTCCCTGGAGAGAGCTGTCCATTGAGGGGTCAGGGAGGGCGATCTGTTCCGAGGCTGTGTTCAGTATTTGCTTTTCTTTGTGCACCCGTCTCGTCAGGGATCTTACTGGGGTCTCCCGCAGGGAAGGCCTGGGCTGTCTAGGTGGTAGGCCCCTAGGCTGCCCAGCTCTGGAAGGCTCCTTTCTAGGAAGGCAGAGGTGGGAGCCTCAGGGGGCCAGGGGCCCTGCCTCTACACCTGACTTTGTGGGGGTTCTGGCAGGCACGCTGTCCCCTTGGCAGTTGATGGGGTGTGTATCATCGTGCCATGAGATGTGGGCCACACCGGGCCCTTTCCGCTTAGGCCTGGATGGAAGATGCCACGTGGCATCTGGGCCATGGGGCGGGGGTGACCTTTAGCCTCATCCCACTTCTCAGTCTGTTCCATCTGGGCCCGGATGTCTTGGCAGCTCACCTGCCCCATCCTGTCCTAGAGCAGATGGTCAAGCCCTAATAAACTCCCCTCCCCAGCTGTGCCAGGCCAAGCTCACTCCCACCTCTCTCCAAGGCCTCGTTGTGCTCTGGACACTACCTGACTCTTCTGCAAAGATCCTGACCCACCTAGGCCCGTGGTCATGGCCATGACCCTGGTGCCATGCTGCAGGAGAATTGGGGCACCTGGTTGAAACCTTTGGAGGGAATCCTAGCTGTGGACCAGGTCTGCATTGGCCCTTTTGCCTAAGTTACTCAATCACATGAGAACAAGGAACTCAATCCTTCTCCTCCTTTCTACCATTGTACACACCTCTCACTGTCTGCTCCTGGAAACTTCTGCCTGTTCCACGCTGCTGCTAGAAACCTGACACCCAGGGCAGATCAAGTCCCCTCTCCAGAAACCCCAAAAAGTTCCCCACTATCCGTCCACTTGATGACCTTCCATTCCACCCCCAAACTGGTCATGGTCCGTGGCCTTTTACCCTGGCCCCAGACCATCCCCTCAGCAAGCAGTGTCCCCATCCCTCCAATCCGGGATGTGGCACTTCCTTCAGGGAGAGGCCTCTCTGCAAGGCCTTCCTTCACCAGCTAGAATTTACCGTTCTTACCCACATGCTCCCAACGGCTGTGTGCACCCTGAGAATGACACTGAGAAAGCACATGCTCCTTGTCAGGTTTTGCTTTTAACATCATACGCATGCACATATTTGGACACGTACATATTTAGAGACGCACATGGGTGTGCAGGCACGTGTGCACACACACATGCACATGAACTGAACTCTCATTTTGTTCCTTGAAGACTTCGAGACTGTGGGTTCACCATGAAAACCTCACAGCCCCTCCTGGGTTACAAGGGAGTAGTGACAACAGTCCGGACTGGGGCTCCAAGATGGAGAGGAAGGGTCTGAGTGCCCTGGATGACACAGAAACCCCACAACTGAAGATGAGAAGACTCTGAAGTCCATCTCAGGTTTCTAGAATGCCTCCCACCACAAGCTGCTGCCTTTGGCAATATACAAGTGCACTGTGTATGTACAGAGAACTCTCCCTGGCCTGTCACTGCCCTTACCAGTGCTCTGGCCATGTTCCAGAGACATCTACTTAGCCATGAGGAAGAGGATGTGCAGGGAGGAAGACCTGAGGCTACAGGGAAAGACAATTTAGCGGCAACATGAAAGGCCCCAGACGAAAAGTCAGAGGGGCTGAAGGAAGACAATCTCATGCAGAGACCACGGTGTTCATGCCTGCCTATTTTTCACAGTGCTGACAAAGTGGGCCCCTGGGAATACGGGAGTGGTTACTCCTTCCTCATCATTTCCCCCACCCCCAATTCGTGGCTCATTCACCATAGAAGGCCCCTCAATGAAAGCCTTCCTGTGGGATCATCTGAGGCGCAGGAATTTAATGTAACCATCACGGTGAGGAGGGCATCTGAGTGCCTGACGACAGAACCAGTTCTATCTCGGGACTCACAGAACATACAAGAGAAATACCTATGTTCTCTTCTTGTTTTTAATTAAAGCCATATTCCTCTTGAGAGAACAGTCTGGTGGTGGTATCCGAGTCTGAGATGCCAGGAGAGTTGGTCGAACAAATGGACAGACGTGATGACGCCCTCCCTGGGTGAGATCACAGCAGGTGAAAATGAAACCCACCTTCTATGACCAGGGCTTCCTTCCCCAGGTCAGGCTGTCACCTGCTGCATGGGTCTGAGGTTCGGTGACACGGCAAAGGGGCTGCCTGTGCTCTTTCTGACGTCGTCCACGGTCAACCCGTCCCAGAGCTCGATGAGCATCAGACCTTTCTTCTTGTGCACGTCAAACACGGCCCTGTCGGTGATGATGCGATCCACACAGCGCTTCCCGGTCAGCGGCATGGTGCACTTCTCCAAGATTTTGGGTTCGTTGGCCTTGGTGCAATGTTCCATGGTGACCACCACTCTGGTCTTGGGACTGGACACCAAATCCATGGCACCCCCCCATGCCTTTCACCTTCTTCCCGGGTATCATCCAGTTGGCCAGGTCACCGTATCTGGAGACCTGCATGGCCCCCAGCATGGTGAGGTGCAGGTGCCCCCCTCGAATCATGGCGAACGAGTCATCGCTGGAGAAAAAACAACCCCCGGGGAAAACAGTGACTGTCTGCTTGCCCGCATTGATGAGATCTGCATCTGCCTCATGTTTTGATGGAAACGGACCCAAGCCCAGGATCCCATTTTCACTGTGAAGATGAACAGTTATGCCTGGGCTGATGTAGTTGCTGGCCAGAAGCGGGATGCCTATGCCCAGATTGACATACATGCCTTCTTCAAATTCAAGAGCTGCCCGTTTGATGATTCGGGCCCTGATGTCATCTGCATAGTTGGCTTTTTTATCTTCCTCCTTTCTGAGGGTTAGATGCTCAATTCTTTTCTCATATTTTTCTCCCTGGATTACACGGTCGACATAAATGTTAGGAACGTGAATGTCTTCCGGGGCAAAGGTCCCCACGTCCACAATTTCTTCCACCTCCACCACGGAGGTTTCCGCAGCTTTGCACATGGGCACATTGAAATTCCTGGCGCTTTTCCTGAAGATGACGTTTCCTGCGCGGTCGGCCTTCCACCCTTTCACCAAAGCAAAATCGGCGGTGATGGCCTGCTCCAGAAGGTAGTGGTGCCCCTGAAACTCCCTCACCTCTCGGGGCTGGCTCATGATGGCGATGTGGCCGTCGGGTGCATACCTGATGGGGGCGCCTCCCTCCTGCACCAGGGTCCCGTAGGCCGTGGGCGTGTAGAACGCGGGTACCCCGGCGCCCCCGGCGCGGATGCGCTCGGCCAGGGTGCCCTGGGGGGTCAGCTCCAGCTCCAGCTCGCCTGCCAGGTACTGGCTCTCGCACAGCGCGTTCTCCCCCACATACGAGCAGATGATGCGGGTGATCTGCTTGGTTTCCAGTAACAGGCCCAGCCCGAAGTCGTCCACGCCCACGTTGCTGCTGACCACGGTCAGGTCTTTGACGCGCGTCCGGAGCAGCGCCTTTATCAGGTTCTCTGGAATCCCGCAGAGCCCGAAGCCACCAATCATGATCTTGGCCCTGTCCTTGATGTCTTTGACGGCCTCCACGGGATCCGCGTAGAATTTAGCGCGGGCGCGAGCGCTGGTGGCCAAGCCGCGCTCGCCGCCCTTCGCCTCTGCCAGCGCGGGCCCCGAGCGGCCAGCGGGGACGCCGCGCCCGAGCACCAGCGCGAGCCTCCGAAGGGCCGCCATCGTGCGCCCCTGATCTGGCCCGGACTAGCGGGGGACAGGCCAATGCCTTCGCCGAGACCACTGCATCACAGAGCAGGGAGGGTGCGCGGGGCGGTGACGCTCAGACAGGGTAGCCCCTGCGCCCCGGGCCCCTTCCCGCTCCGAGCAGCTCCAGACCCTGTGTCCCCATGGGCCCCTCCCCGCTCTGGACCGTGCGTTCCCACGGACCCCTCCTCACTCCGAGGGGCTCCGAACCCTAAGTCCCCACGCGGAGGCAGCTGCGTTCCTGAGGAGAAGACGCGACCTTGAGTTCTTGGGGTTGGCGGAAGGCCGCCCATGTCCAGGGCAAAGCCCTGAGGGCAAGGGAGGTCCACCGCATGGCCCCTTCTGGGCAGACCTCTCCCTGTTGGAGACCCCTCAGCTCTGGGCGATTACCTTCCTTCTCCACCACCCCCTTCCCGGGTGACCTGCTCCAGTCCCCTGGCCTGCAGGCAGCACTCCCCACACCTGCGCCCCCTGTCCTGGATGATGTGTCATCTGAACATCTACCAGGGCTCCCAATGACCTGCCTCAGACCTGCCCCTCCTCCTCTTTGACTCAGGAAAACGTCTACTAAAAACGGCCCCTGACTCCACGTTTTCCATGATTCCTCCGCTACCCACTTTTCTCCATTTCTGCTGCCACCAACAAGCCCCTCTCCACTCTCACCTCCACGCTGGGTGGCTCCTGGGCCTCTCTGGCTGCACTCTTGCCCCCGCACACTGCCCTCCCTGCTGACGTCAGGGGTCGGCGGTGTTGCTACATACCGATAAAGTTTTCATGTTATCATAGTTGAGGTTTAAGGAAAAACCGCTCAGAAAGCCCAGGGTTCCCAGATACTCAGAGCCAGTTCCCCCGGAAAATAGTAAGTTAATTTACTGCCGTGCATTTCTCACAACTAATGAACCAATACTGGTGTCTTATGATAAATTAACACGATCTATTTGGATCTCACCAGATTCCCCAACGTCCTCTTTCTCTTCCAGGGTCCCAGCCAGGGTCCCAGCCAGGGTCCCAGCCAGGGTCCCACGCAGCAGGCAGCTGTTACAGCTGCTCAGGCTCCTCCGGGCTCTCACAATACCTCAGACTTCCTTCGTAATGATGCTGGTTTGGAGAAGTACCTGACAGGCACCCTGTAGTATGTTCTTCAGTCTCTGTTTTCTGAGTTTTTCTCATGGTTAGATGGGGTGGCAGGGTTTGGGGGGAAGAGCACAAGATGAAGGGCCCTTCCCATCCCTTCATGTCAAGGGGACACGGGGTGTACATGACATTCACATGAACCTGGATCACCTGCCGAGGCAGCACCGTCAGCTTTCTCCTCTGTGACTTACTTCCCCCACCCCGTCCCGGCTGTACTTTTGGGAAGCAAGTCACTAAGTGTTGTCCTGCTGAGGGCTACAGTGATGTCCTCCTTGTGGGGGGCGGGGGGGGCGGGCCTCAGAGGGCTCTTCTCTACAAACCTGAATCAAACCCTGCCATCTTCCATTGATGTGAAACACAGTGAGCCACCCTCCATGCTCCTGCACCAGGCCCTGGTTTACCCACGGCGTGCCCTGGGCGCCTGGCTGGCTCAGTTGGAAGAGCATGTGACTCTTACTCTCAGGGCTGTGAGTTCGAGCCCCACGTTGGTTACAGACATTACTTAAAAATTTAGGGGGGCCTGGGTGGTTCAGTCAGTTAAGCGTCCAGGTTTGGCTCAGGTCATGATCTCTCAGTTCATGAGCTTGAGCCCCACATCGGGCTCTCTGTTATCAGTGCAGAGCCTCCTTTGGATCCTTTGTCCCCCTCTGTGTCTCTCCCCAGCTCACACACTCTCTCTCAAAAATAAACAAACATTAAAAAAGTAAGTACAATTAAAAAAAAAAAAAAAAAAAAGGAATGTGCTCTGCCAGCTCTCAGTCTCCTCTCCCATCTGGCCCTGGGCCCCCCTGCTCTGGCCACGGCCGCCCCTTCCTGCAGCTCAGACACATCAATCTTGTGCCCACCTTCGGCCTCTCCATCCCCACCTCCTGCCATAAAGTAGGCTCTTCTCCAGATACCTATGGATGAATGAAGGTGTGATCCTCATTCTACAGATGAGGAAAGTGAAGCTTGGAAGGTCAGTATCCTGCAAGGTCACCGAGTTAGAGCGCTGCAAGGGCTGGGATTCAAACCCAGGCCTGTCTGATCAAGTCTGAGGGTGTCACCACTTCCCCTCGTCCCCTGCCCAGTAGGGGAGCTCCCAACCTGCACGGCTGCTCTTGGGGAGCAGCTCAAGTGTGGGTTCCGCACAAGGAGAGGAGAGAGAGCACCGTGGTAGGGGGCCCCCTGCTGAGGCAACCTCGCCCCTGCACCCGTTGACCCCCACGGAGGAGCAGCCGGAGGAGCCCCCGGGGAAGGTCCACTGCCCCCCTGAGCCTCACCATCGTCTGTTTCCACATAGAGGCGGAGCCCCAGGTCCTTGTTCCGGCTCAACAGCCAGCGGTCACTGGCTGCTGTCACGTCCAACACCAGCCAGCCCTCGTCCCCAGCTCGGAGCGTCTGAAGATCCAAAAACAACAAGTCAGACTCCCTGTGGACACGAAAGAACAATTAACCGAGGGCTGGCACAGCTGCCTCTGTGCTTCTAGCGCCCGCCTGCGGACCGGGAGTGGGGCGCCCACCCTGCCTGCCTCGGGACGGGTGCCTCACTCGCCTCATCGCGCTGCCTCTGCCCCACAGGTGGTGTTGCGCCCACGCAGGGATGTGGAGACTGAGGCTCGGGAGCTCAGGGACCCGCCCAAGGTTGCGGCCAGGACTGCAGGGTGGGGACTCGCAGCAGGACTGGCTCTGGGTCTCTGCCCGCAGTGACATGGGGCCTCGGGCCAAGAATCTTTCTGTCTCTGAGGGTGTGCTCCCCAGGGAGCTCCCCTTCTGACCTCTGGGACATGTCCCCTCCAAGGCTGGGCCAGACACACCGACGGAGGCTGGACCGGGAGGCGGGGCGTGGGGCAGGCACCTGTTGGACTGCTCCCTGACCACCTCGAACATGCTGACGTGCAGGGTCCCGTTGAGCAGGTGGGTGCTGGCCAGCTTGTAAATCCGGAATTCGGCAGCTGTGACCGCCTCGCCCTCTGGGATCTGGGTCAGGTCGAAGCGGAACTCCTTCCAGTGGGGCTCCTGGTGGCCCAGGGAACGGTCACGCTCCACTGCAAGACAGAGCGGGGCCGGCAGTCACTCTGTGTTCTGGGCTCAGGCTGGGGGTGGGCAGAGGTGTGTGGGAGCTGGGGGCCAAGGAAGCCTGGGTGGGGACAGCTCCCAGGCTCTGCACCCCCAGGTGCTAGGTTGGCTCGGTTGGGCCATGTGGTGAGGTGTCCGGAGAGGACCCAGCAAGCGGGTCAACAAGGGCGGCCTCCGCCCCTGGCCCCTGAGCCCCAACCACGGTCTGCCCAACCCCTTCCCTGCTGGCGCTGGGACCCAAGGATGAAGCAGAGGTCAGGTCCCTCCTCTGGGAAGATGGACATCAGAGCCAAGGCAGAAGGGGGCCACATAGGGGTGCAGATACATAAGTGAGTATTTCTGAGGCCAGGGCATCCAGAGTCTGACGATGTGTGGGAGGCTGGGGAGGGTGAGCCTTTGCAGCTGACACCGTGGCTGGGCCCTGAGGGGTGAGAGTGGATTTGCCACCATGTCAAGAGAGAAAAACATTGCAGGGAAGGGTCCAGCCTGAGCAAAGATCTAGGGCTGAGGGACAGACGGTGCCAGCAGGGAAAACAGCAGCCATAAAACACAGCAAAGGGTGAAATGATGGCAGGTCCTGGAGGAAGGGGTGCTGGAGGGAGACTTGGAGAGGAACAAGGAGCAGCAAGCTAGGAGTGACAGCTCCTGGTGAGGCCTGATCAGGTCCTGGGAAGCTGGATGGTCCCATGGTGTCGTCGGATCTGAGCAGGCTTCCCGAAGGAGGTGACATCTGAACGTGCCTTGAAGGATGGGACAGAGGCTTGTTGGGAGGAGAAGGTGGCAGAGAAGGCATTCTAGGCAGAGGGGCCCCAGGGGCCTCAGTGAGGGGTGCCGGGGTGCCCAGTGTGGGGGATGGGCCATGCGTGGCTGTGGTCTGACTGTCCAGGGCTGGAATTCGGCCTAGGAGCCAGCGCTGTGCCTCCGGCCGGTCGGTTCAGGGCTCTGGGCAGCAGGGGCGCGGTGTGGTTTGGGGTGGGGAGGAAGGAATGCGTGGAGGGGCAGGTAAGCGCAGGCTGGAGGGGAGGCAGGGCCGCCGGGTGCTGAGGCTGGTCTGTCTGGGCAGGAGGCGGTGGGTGGCGAGTAAATCCCACATCTCCCCCGCTGCCCGGAAGTGCCCAGGACAGTATATTTAGTACCGTCTTACTTTAGCCTCCTGTCACTCACTTTCAAACACCACAAATCTGTGTTTCCAGAAAGGAGGGTGGGAGCCGCCCAGCACCGTCCTCAGAACCCAACACTGAGATTTTAATTACATGTCTGTGAGTCTTTTAAAAACTCTCTCTCTCTGGCTACTGGGCTCAGTGACCACAAGTCACCAGGCCGGTGACGGAGGCGGATGTGGGGAGCACTTCCTGTCCTCACAGTGGGGACCTGGTCTGGTGAAGAACAAACAGCTGGGCGGGGCGGGGCCAGTGGACGCACATGTTTGGACAGGAGGACACGGCTTCTCACCCCCATGTTGAGGAGGAGGAGAAATAGAAGGTCCATCCTCCGACAGGGTGCTGGCCACGTGGCAGATGCCCACGCGGGCCCAGGCTGCTGAGGAGGCAGCGTGACCCAGGGTGGGATGCGGGTACCCCCGCCTCAGGCAGAGAGCACGGAGGGCAGGGTTCTGGGCCCTCACCGAGCGGTGCACTCCAAGAATATAGACACACGTGTCCCCTCCTCCCTACAGACACACGCACACTCGCAAGCGCACGCACAGCTTTGGTGACCATTTCCGTGGATTCAGGGACCTCACAGGCTGCCCCTGGTATGTGGCTGTGTACGAGTCCCGGACGTGCAGGATGACATAAGTCTAGGCTGCTGGCTGTCACGGGTGCGGCACGGAGAGTGAACGAGGGTGGCTCAGTCACACCCTTCACCTGTGTCCTCTCAGAGCGTCATAAATGTTTCTGTTCCCAAGGCCCCGTGGCAGCTGATGGGCGGGTCCCGGGGCCGCTGGGAATGTCTGTGTGCAAGCCCGACGGTGATTCCATGTTGCGTCTGGGGACCTGGGGCACAACCCCAAACTGGCCAGCTCCTCAGGAGCACCACGCCCTGGGCCTCCCTCCCGTGCTGACCTGGGGGGGGCGGGGGGGGGGGACACGCAGGTGCACTGGGTCAGGAGCGCCTCGTGCACTTGCACTGACCCCAGTTCCCAGCTCCCACCTGCGGGTTTGTGAGCTCGATGAAGCCCCCAGTAGCTCTGCACAGGAAGCCCCCCCTTCCCGCTGGCTGTTGGAGGCAAGCATTAGAAGGGATGTTTTTAGGAAAGTAGTGCCTTTTGTCAGAAGTTGATAAAACTTCCTGGGATGCAGCATTAAACCAGACATGACTGTAACTGTCTGAAGGGGGATACCCCCCTTCCATGCAGGAGCCGCATGGATGCAGTAGTAGAAACTACTTTCTTTGTAGTAGAAACGGTGTTTTTCAAAAGCTGGTGTTGAGGAATAGTGCGGTGAGTATCCGGATCTTCCTCGACACTTGTTCCAGGGTGGGCTGCCCCCGCCTGCTGCTGCCACTGACCCAGCTCTGAGAAATGTAGGTGCTCTGTAGCTGGGGCTTCTGGTCCCAGCCTGACCCTACCGGTGACCAGGTACTTTCCTAGGCCTCAGTCTCCTCATCTGTGAAATGGGGATACCGGGAGCCTTTCTATACAGGGGCCTAAAAGGGCTTCAGGAAGGCCAGCCTGTAATAGGGGTAAGGGTGCTGGCCTCTAATTCCCTAACTGAATTTGTGTGTCACAGCGACGACATCCTGCCAGCACCGGCACCACCTTCATGTGTAGATCTCAGGAGCCATGGGGGAGAAGAGGAAGACATGCTATTTCCTTCTTCTAAATAAAATAATATATAACATAAAAATATATCAGTTCAACTGAAAGGCATCTGGATGGTATTAAGGTGCCTTCTTTTCACCTGCCTGGCCTTTCGTCAAGGTACTTGATCCTCTGACCTCCGTATCCACATCTGCAAAATAGTCATTTGATCCAGGGTGAAATTTGCTGCTGCAGCAGGTACTTGGTTATTACGGTCCAGGCAGTGCCTCTAAGATATTCAGGAACATTTCCTTCTTGGTGCACCTTCATGCCCAGCCTCCACTTCCCCTTGGGGAATCTGGAATCTCCCAAAGATGCCCAGGCTCAGAGAGGCAGCCCCTCAGAATCACCACTGAGGCTGCTCTGGCTCAGGCAAAAAGCAGAAACTGATCCTTTATGAGTGTGCTATGCTCTCCAGAACACCAGAGCTCCAAGGGCAGAGGTCACCACACATGTTATCCTTCCACTTTTATATACACACAGAGAAAGAGGGAACCCAGGGGTCCCGACTCCCCTCTGAGTTCCTTCCACTACATCAGGGTGGATCTCTGTCATGTAGTGTTGGAAAAATGGCCTAAAAATCAAGTTGGAAGTGGCCTGTTGCTGCCTCCCAACCCCCTGCTACTGCTGATAGTCTGCAGAGGGAATTTATGGGAAAGGCCAAGTCTGTACAATGTGATTTCTTGGGTTTTCCCAGTAAAAAAAATTTTTTTTTTTTTGCTACCGCTTGCAGGGTTGGGAAGTTCATTTCCCGGTCCCCTGGCAGATTTGGACAGGCTGAAGGGGCAGGGGGTGCTGGACCCCGGCCATCTGAGATACGTCCTGCCAGGAAGCCTCTCTCTGTGGTGGCCTTGGGGGGATCACTGATGTCTGCAGCAAGGTTTCTGGGAAGTAAACTATTTCCCTGATCTGCAGCCTCTGGGGCAGGGATTCCTAACATTCCCATCATGTCACCTTTGGGCCCGTGGGAGACAACACCTGACTATACCAGTGCAGGAGGCTTTCTAGAAAGCTCACTTTTCCCATTCATTTTTCCTGGTGACATCCAGGAAAACGAATTCATTCACTCGGCACATTTAGAAGCAGGGCTTACTGTATGCAGGTCACCGTGCACGGCACTGGGGAGGCTGTGGGCAGCGAGACGGAATGGCCCACCCGCATGGAGGTTATGGAGCACGTAGTGCCGTAGGGCAGGCAGGCATCGAACAAGATGACTGTATATGACCAGCTGTGACGGACATCAGGCCCAGGGTGGGACTGGGGACAATGCAAGGAGGGGGTGTGTGAGTCACTTGATGCCGTTGACTTTATTTCAAAATAATTTTAGATGATTTAGATTTAGAGAAAAGTCTTGGCAGGAATAGTGCTGAGACTTCCCCTACATGCCTTACCTGGCTTCCCCTGATGATAACATCGTATATAACCAGACAGTAACAGAATTATCAAATTCACAAAACCGATATCGTGCAATGCTATTAACTACAGTCTTTTCTACAATTTTGCCAGGTTTTCCACTATTCATCTCTTAAGTTTTACCTGACTTCAACCCAGGGCCCCTCATCACACTCAACTGTTAGGTCTCCTGGGTCTCCTCTGATTTGTAACACTTGCTAAGACTTTCCTTTTCTTTCATGACACTGACACTTTTAAAGAGCGCTGGTCAGCTCTTTTGACTTATCTGACATTTTCTTTCCTTTTTAAAAAAATATTTATTTTTGAGAGAAATATAGACAGAGCACAGAAGAGCAGGGGATGTGCAGAGAGTGGGGGGACAGAGGATCCAAAGCGGGCCCTGTGCTGACAGCAGAAAACCCAATGTGGGGCTCGACTTCACAAACTGTGAGATCATGACCTGAAGTCAGATGCTTAACCAACAGAGCCACCCATGCATCCCTGATGTTTTCCCATTAGACTGAAGTTATGGATTTTAAATACTGCAGAAGTGATGTCCACTCCTGTGCCCATCAAATTGTACAACATGGTGTCAATATGTATTATTACCAGTGATACTAATGGACTCGTTGATTAAGGTGGTGTCCAGGGATTCAAAGAGGCTCTGTGACCTGGGAAGAATTTGATAAAACTCAACAGTTGTTGATGCTATGATAGTCCATGACCTTGTGAGATGGGTTGGAAGCCACCTGTGGTTTCCAGCAGCCAAGAG